GTGAGAGAGAGAGAGAGAGAGAGAGAGAGAGAGAGAGAGAGAGAGAGAGAGAGAGGATTGAACACATGCATGCTAAGCAAGCTCTCCACCACAGTGTTTTCCCCCTAGCTGACCCCCTCCCCGGGTCTCACTAGGCTGTCCAGGCAGGCCTTTTACCCCCATCCTCCCATGTCAGTCCCTTGAGTAGCTCTGTTCAGACCCTGGCTCCTAGGCCTGGCTCTCTGGTCCCTCTTTAGGTTTAGAGTCTTAACAGCTATAAAAGAAAGGCTCTTTTAGGAGAGTGAAGGAACAGTTTCCACCATGGTTTGTTTTTGTTTTTTCCAGTTTTGCAGTTTAGGGAAATTACATTGTTTTACAGAGATTTTGAAAAAAAGATTCTTTTAAAAAAGAGATTGTATACTATTTGAGTGGGGATAGAATTTCTGTGGCATTTAGACATTTAGTGGAAACACCAGGTTAATGAGACATCTTGAATAAACTAGTTATTATCCATGACTAAAGACAAGTTTGAAATAAAACTGAATCTCTTCAATGGAAAGGCAAACCATAGCGCCTCTGTTTGTTTAGGCCACTGACTAATCCTTTGAGAAGTTGCTGGGCTTTCCCCAAGTGCTGAAAACCCAGTTCTATTTTTAAGATTGCTGACGGCCATCCTGTCTTCATGCATGTCCTCTTAAGTGTTTAGCAGTGTAGGGAATTGTCTTTTAGACTAATGATTGTTTAGACCCAAACTCGACTGAGTCTTTTCTTCCTTAAAGTTGTATGGTTGACTAATGACAAACTGAGAAACATTTCTGGATATTGGGGAACACTGTTTCCTAAAGCGTAGAGATCTGGAGGGAGATGGTTGATTTTTCTTATTTTTTTAGGTTTCAGTGATATGTTAAATCTTTGATGTATGTGACTAAGAGACTTCCTCTTTGGAGCTTTGCCTCCACTGACATTCAACTGAATCATGGCAGCAAATACTATGAAGTCCTGGCATGAAGCTATGTGAATTTTGAGCCAATTACTCCAACAACAATTACAATGCCAAGAGAACTCCATGAACAACAATACAATGTGTCCCCAGCTGAAATGGTTAAAACTTTGATCTTCATTTTAGAGATTCTTCTTTTCTTTGAGCCCAGTTGTTAAACTCAGTAGACAAAAGCAATTTGTTGCTTAAGTGCTAATAGAAATAAATAAAAGACTTCATTCTAGAGAGGCCCCTTGGATAGACTTTCTTATTTTTCTTGGCTTTGGTTGGTTGCTTCTCCACCTGCCCAGAGCAGCCTAGCATTTAATAGAGTGAGCTCCTCCAGAGAGACTGACTCTTTCCACCAGCACCCACATAGCAAATCAGTACACAGGGCTCCCATCCCTACGGGTGAAATCATGTCTGCCTGGCAGGTTGGTACGGAAATTAGATGCCCCCAAAACTTCCTATCACTTAGAATATAGCCAAGCATGTAACAGGCATGCCGTGCCCAGAGTGAGCAGCTGTTCTAACTTCCTAGCCTTTCTCCTCTCTGCCTGTTCCCTCTCTGCTTCTGTTCCAGCTCATGTCTACCCATGACCATCAGTCAGTAGTTAATACTTATGTCTCCCCACGACCATCAGTCAGTAGTTAGTACTTATGTCTCCCCACGACCCGTCAGGTAGTACTCATCTCTCCTTGACTGTCAGGCAGTAGTACTCTTGTCCCCCGTGACCATCAGTAGTTAGTACTCTTGTCTCCCATGACCATCAGTACTTAGTACTCTTGTCTCCCATGACCATCAGTAGTTAGTACTCTTGTCTCCCATGACCATCAGTAGTTAGTACTCTTGTCCCCCATGACCATCAGTAGTTAGTACTCTTGTCCCCCATGACCATCAGTAGTTAGTACTCTTGTCTCCCATGACCATCAGTAGTTAGTACTCTTGTCTCCCATGACTATCAGTAGTTAGTACTCATCTCTCCTGTGACCATCAGGCAGTAGTGATTCTTGACTACCTATTGTTGCCTGATCGGATTTCCCTGTTTCAATGCTTTCCTGATTTCCTATTGCTTTTCCACATGGTTTTTAAAGGGTACTTTCTATTTCTATGTCTCGACTAGGTTGACAGATTTTTTTATTTTCTTCCCACGGTAGTTTCATTTAAAATGAAGGGAAAGCATACCTATTCGACTAATATGGTGAAACGAAATGACTTGGAAGGGCTGATAACTGTCATCAAGGTGTACCTTGTAGCACAGATCTTGGCTTTGGTGTTACGGAGGCCCAAACGGTTCAGCTGTAATCATGGGTCTTATGGATGATGCTGGTGCAGCTGTTAATTTAGAAGCATGGTGTGTCTTGTATTTGGATTCTATGCCATGGATAGATACCAGTAAAAATCATTTACAAATTCTTGCTTATGACCTGTCTCTAAAATAAGTCTCAAGTATTTCCTTATGTCATCAATGGAAGACATTGGACAGAAGGTGTGGCAACCAGCTATTCAACCTAGTGACCTTTTGGTTAAAAACAGTAGCTATATGAGCTTTCCTGCTGATAGTATTTTTTTAAAACCTTTCGCAGCTTACTTTATTGACTTGATCTTTTGATGTGGCTGTAAGATGTATTTCTTCGCTTGGTGTAGATCTAGTACTCTTTTGTTCTCGGTATTATGTACTGTATGTTAAGGTGGTAGCACTTACATGGAAATTTATTTGTGGTTAAGAAAAAGTAATTTTAACAGTGGGATTTCTTTGTTTCACTTGCTCAACCAGTGGGATTTTCCCTATGGTAGGCTCTGTGGTTTTGTAGCTCTTAAAACATGCCAGAGTTCTCCAAGGAAGAAGCAGTGTTTTACATGTTTTATGATACTCGTGTATACTGAGAGGCCTTTTTTTAAAACAGAGAAACATATGTTTAGTGAGTTCGTTTTTCTTTAAGTACACATGGCTCTTCAGACTGGAATCTATTGAAACAGGACTCCCATTTGAAAACCAAAGAGCCAAGGCTACAGCACAAAAGTGATCTAGTGATTAGCCAGAGGCTAATAGAAATTCTGGAAAGAATGACAGATTGTATATGAAAAAGAAATATAATCTCCCAGTCATTGTAGCTTTTTTACAATTAAAGATCAAAAAAATAGAAAATTACTGGAAGAGATGAATGTCTGAAACTTTAGAAATGCGTACAGTGTCGGATTATCCCAGCAAAGGGGCCGATGAGCAGATAATAAACGTTCTGAGTCGGAAGTCTGCACTCTTTGTTTTGAATGTGCTCTCATCTTTTTCCCCTCCTCCTCTCAAGATACTACAGTTAAGTAGTTTCTAAGCTGGTTTCAGAAAACTGGAATCTATTTCTTCTGCATCTTATCATGTACATACAGTTCTTTGGGAAACAAAATGATGTGACAGCTCCAGATATTTGAGTGGAAGAGGTTAGCACTGACCCCCCCTCCCTCCTGTGCCCAGCTGCCGGTGTTTTCCCTCTGAGAGAACAGAGCAAGGCAGAAGACGTTTCCACATCCAGTTGCTTGTAGTAGCTGCAGCTAAGGGCTTGTAGGCATGTCTTGGTGGCTCCTGGTGAGCAGCCATGTTTCTTCTGGAGAAAAAGAAATAGTCTGAAATTACAAAATATGGGTACATGTTTTCATTGCAGAAAAGTGATTGTTACTTACCTGTTCTAAATTTAACTTTACCATGGGTACATGTTATTTTACCAAAAAAAAAAAAAATTGACTGTGTTTGTGCATGTGGTAATCGCTCCTTCTGCAAACTAACATGTCTCATTCTTCTCCAAAGTTAAATCATCACAGTGTTTTAACTGCAGAGTTCAGCGGCTTTCCAACAGCTTGACTGAGAAATGCACACTGTTCTTAAACTGTGCGCCTTTTCATCCAACTTCCTCCAGATTCTCATTGTTCAGACCTGGCATTCAGTGGTGTTCTTAGTTTTTATAAGTCCAAGGAGAAAGTGGAATGTTTCCTGAAAGATAAATAAGTAATAAAAGCAGTGTGCACATAGAATACACACTTCATTCTTCAAGGTTCCCCCCCATTGGCTCTCAGAGAGAGAGAGAGAGAGAGAGAGAAAGAGAGAGAGAGAGAGAGAGAATGTGTGTTCTGTCCATCTCTGGGGAAAATACTGTTACACTGAAGATCTGACTCCAAATCAGCTGGGTTTCCGTAGAGCTGAGTATTTGAGCTTCCCCTTCTGTATTTACCTAAATGAGTTCTATATTCCACAACCATATTTACGATGGAAGGCTGGTGGATTATTTGTGTTCGTGTGAGCACAGGGAGGTACCTGTGGAGGACAGGGAGGGGATCAGATCCCCTAGAGCTGGATTTAGGGGCACTTGTGAGCTGCCCAGCAGTGGAGCCAAGCACTGAGCATCTCTCCAGCCCCAGAATGTGCTTTAATAACACGTGAAGAATGGTGTCATTGTTATTACGTGGTACAAAAGCTGGCTATTTCTCATATGCCAGCAGGTGAAATCTGGGCGGCAGTGCTGGCTTTGGTTTCTCTTTTATTGTTGTTTTTTGTTTTGTTTTGTTTTTTTTGTTTTTTTCCAAAACATGGTTTCTCTGTCCTGGAACTCACTTTGTAGACCAGGCTGGCCTCGAACTCACAGAGATCCACCTGCCTCTGCCTCCCGAGTGCTGGGATTAAAGGATTGCGCCAACACTGCCTGGCCCTTAAGTTTTTATGTTTATTACTAAATTAACATTTTGTGCACTGAACAGATGAGACAATGTGAAAGAGTTTTTGCAAAACTTGAAACCAATTTTATAAATAGCCTATTACAAAATCCCTTTTTTCTTTTATACTTGGATTTGCAATATAAACAAAGGTTATGTGATAAACTTACAGTTCTCTGCAGAGTCACTTACCTCCATTTCTGCCATGTGCGTGTTGGAGTTAATTCATTATGGGTTATCTTCTACATGGTGCTCTCGATCCAGCGGACGTCTGTGTTTCTGAACAGATGACTCTTTGAATGGTTAAAGCTCTAACAGGAATTCTTTTTGTTCCTTTTGCAGCTATGTCTTCTTATCTTTTAATTATTAAAACAGAGCTTCCTGCTGCTATTTCAGAATTTTTGCCTGGAGACCACAGTGGGTAAGAAGAAATGTTCCAATCTATCCATTCATCCATCCACCCATTCAGTCATTCATGTATTCATTGTTTTTATTAAACCTTAGTGACAAGGGAAACAAATGTAGTCACGTACAGGTTTTGTGGGTGGAGCAGCAGTGGATCAAACACTGTGTACACGTCCCACGTCCACTGGCAATCGGCTCGGCCAGAGCTCTGGGCTGCCAACCACCGGAGCTCCAGGCCCTTGTGCTCCTGAAAGTAAAGGCAAGGCAAGTCCAGATTAGCTCTCAGAGAAAAGTGAAGAAGCGTCTAAGGACAGGAAAGTGGGGAATGGTGGGGAAGGAAGCCTCTGGATATCTAAATTGAGGGGACAGGGAGTCATCTTTGCTGTCACTTCTCAGCAAGTTGTTGTGACAAATGTTGGTTGCAGCCGCTGTGTGAGACTCGTGTTAGGCAGCTCGAAGAATTATGGACGAGAACCTGTTTCCCTTCGCCTTTTTAATATTATGAATAATACCAGACCACAGCATACTTCCTCTCTCATTTAAAAACACAGGCTCCTACAGAATATATTGACTTAGCTCTTATTATGGAGAAGGGACCCAAGTTAATTATGCTTTTCTTTTTGATATGTAGAGCAAGGAGCCAGACTCCCTTTTTCTCTCTTTTCTCAGAAAAATAAACTTGAAAATAAGAATAAACTTGGGTTAAGCTTCTTAATTCCAGTTACTCTACCCAGCTTTCAAACCACAGCACAGGACTGCCCCGTCTGGGACTGGAGTATTTGGTTGCTTTTCCCCAGTAACCAGACTTCCCTGGAATGCAGAAGAAAACTTGAGAATTTAGTCTTAGCTTAGAGAAGTCGACTTCTCTCAGAGCAGTGGACAGGTGCAGCTGCATGTGTGTAAGGAGCGCGCGGTTACTCTCCATCTCGATAGGAACTGTGAAGGAATGATTAAAGCAAGGGTCGTGAAGTCCGTCACGATCTTCATCCCCAGAAGACGGCCCTCTCACGGCCCGTCATAGCTCATTGGGGGCCCATAGCGTGCTCACCACTGCCTCAACCTCCTGTCAGCTCTACCTGGTTGCATTTTGATTATGTTCTGCCTGAGAGCAAACTACGCTAAGAAGTAGCTGTGTACACTAAAAATACACTTTTTTGTCTTTGCTGTAAAAATAGTAAGAACCACTTTTGCTACTTGAATTCTAAGTGAGGAATTCGCACATGGAGCTAAGAACTCAAGGCAGTTTGATGGAGACTAGAAAGAAAACATGTTCTATTCATTTCATGCTAGTTAGTCTCAAGTATCGAACTCTTGACCTTCTAACTTGTCATGGGCTGTAGGTTTCTTTACCTGGTGCTGTGAGGGTACCAATGAGGGCTGGGAATGTGGCTCCCAGACACAGTGCTCACCTAGCATGCCCAAAGCCCTGGGTTCAATTCTCAGTACCAGAAAAAAGCAAAAACAGACAAGCGTTCTGAAAGGGCTGGAGAGATGGCTCAGTGGTTAAGAGCACTGACTGCTCTTCCAGAGGACCCGGGTCCAATTCCCAGCACCTGCATGGCAGCTCACAACTGTCTGTAACTCCAGTTCCAGAGGAAATACTACCCTCCCATAGACAGACAAAGGCAAAGCAACAATGCATATAAAATAATAAATTAATAAATCATTAAAAAAAGAAAGGAGGGTTCCGGGTGGAGGTAGCTTGCCCCTTTTAATCACTCAGGAGGAAGAGGCAGGCAGATCTCTGTGGGCTGGAAGCCAGCCTGGTCTACAAAGCTGTTACACAGAGAAACCCTGTCTCAAAAAAACAAAACAAAGCAGATGGCACCAATGACTTTCCCTCTGTTTAGGTGCTTCCTTAACAGAGTTAGGATGACCAAATGAGATGGCACACATGTATATGCTTATAAGTAGCTAGTACAGTGTAAATGTGGAGAACAGGAAATTCCAAGAGCAACGATTTTATTAAAGGTAAACTTTCCTTTTTTATGCAGACTGCCAGGAAGCTCGGAGTCAAACACAAATGGACTCTGATAATCCTAATGCTTGTCGTATGTCACCTGAGTTTGTCTTTGTTTTGTCTGTTTATCTTTTGTTTGGTCCCGAATTTGGTGACTTCTAGTAACAGGCTTTCAGTCACTTTAGAAATAGTTACCATGTAGCAGAACGCTAGTAAAACGGAGGTGTTTTGTCTGCTAAAGCATTGCTCACTTAAATCAAGTGCCACGTCTCTTGTTTTAAACAACTGAAATGAACTCCTATTTCAACTGTCTTAGTAAACCTTGTATATAATGTTCTGTTTCTATCACAAATGCATGCTTTAATGCATTCACCAATTTTTTACCCACAATGTGCTACAGTCGCACATTTTTGATAACTCATATTGTTTTACATGTAGTATATTCATTTTTGAAGAGACTATATTAATTGGCTACAGAGCATTAGTCTTTAAAGTCTAACTTTGTAAAGTCAGAAACAAATGTTATAGTGATGAATGTTGCTTTGGGACAGTTTATTTCTCAATGGTGTTGGGTGGCAGTATTTCTTTACTGAGATCACGTGGTGTTGATGTTTTTTTTAGGGTTTAGTTTGCCATAAGTTTCAGTTAAGATTTTGTTTTGTTTTGTTTTGTTTTGTTTTTCGAGACATGGTTTCCTCTGTGTAGTTTTGCGCCTTTCCTGGATCTCGCTCTGTAGACCAGGCTGGCCTCGAACTCACAGAGATATGCATGCCTGCCTCTGCCTCCCGAGTGCTGGGATTAAAGGCATGCACCACCACCGCCCAGCATTCAGTTAAGATCTTTCAAGTGTCTTTGTTTTCTGGGTTATCTGTTAGAATAAGATATCTTTATGAACTATAACCCTTTATGAAGATGCTGTCAAATCACTTTGTGTTCATTATATTCTAATTTCCAAAGTTACTATTAGAAAATGTAGATCAGTAATACTTATACCAAACTCTTATGATACATGTATATTTTTCCTAGACTAACTTACATACTTTTTAAATCTATAGCTGTTAAAAGTTGGGAGCTCTCTGTTAACATTTAATGGTCTTGTCAGGGGACTATGATTGACACAATTAAGTTGTCTTGCATTTGAGTTACATAATTGATATGGGATGTGAGCAAGATCCTAATTGAGAACATACGATACTCTTGTTCCATTCTATTCGAGAATGAAATTAAAGCAACTTATAAATAAATCTGGTTTTCATTTAAAAATGGAAAAAACATCTGCGTGCCAAGCATTTGCAATACAGCTAAGGATTTATACTCTGTGTTTCTTAGTTGGAGCATTTTTATCATATAGGATTAAATCCACAGATCAAACAAGTTTTCTAGGAAGTATAAAACTTTTTACTCTAATTCTTTTGGCTTAAAGAGAATGTATATTTAGGTCACAGTAGGAAAACAGGAGTTTGGTTAGATAATTCTTTTTCCCCTCTTAGAAAAAAATTGAAGTGCAGTAAATTTTCCCAAAATCTTGGTTTATAAAATGATTGTATTTACTGCATACTTTCAGACTGCTTATTGCTGGCTTGTAGTCTCTGGGCTTGGGTTTCATCGCATCTGCTCTTTGGACTATCTCCATTGCCAAACCCGATGCAATTGTCTGGGACATGCATGTGCAGTTCACTCACTCCACTGGGAGTAGCTATTGATAATGAATGATAAAGAAACCGCTGTCTTAACGATTGGTTTTATTAACAGCAGTCAATAAATAGAAACGATTCATAACCAGTCTCCAGACCTAGTGAAACTCGGTTTTCAAACACAGTCCTTTACATATTAAGATTTTAAGTTCAGTCCTAAGGAGAAAATGAAGTGTGACCTTGAAATAGATGAAGGACGTCTGAAAAATGCTGTAAGCTCTGAGTAGTAGCTGGCTCGGAGTGTTTGCATTGCTACTGTCATGAGCCCATGGTCCTTTACGGCTTCTGCAGACACATGAAATGAAGATGGTGAACAGGCTGATCTTTGAGCCCCCTCCAGCCCAAGCATTCCCTAGCTCTGCGAGTCTGATGCCTCACACCCTACAGTCAGGGCTGTGTCGGTCACGCCACTCTAAGATGGGCGCCAATTCCATCTTCAGGTCACACGGAGCAGCCCTACCTCAGGATTTTAGTGTTTCTTTAGTCCTATACAAGGGGCAAGTTGTGGTGCTGTGGCTTAACACACACCCTTTTATACAACTCCACCCTCGTAGTGTTTTGTTTTTCCTCTTTAAAAGTCAGTTTGGGCCAGATGGTGGTGGCACACGCCTTTATTCCCAGCACTTGGGAGGCAGATGTAGGTGGATCTCCAAGTTAGAGGCCAGCCTGGTCTACAGAACAAGTTCCAGGACAGCCAGGGCTACACAGAGAAACCTCATCTCAAAAAAAAAAAAAAAAAAAAAAAAGACAGACAGAAAGAAAGAAAGAAAGAAAGAAAGAAAGAAAGAAAGAAAGAAAGAAAGAAAGAAAGAAAGAAAAAGAAAAAGGAAAAAAAGGAAAGTCAGGTTGGCTTGTGACCATTTTTACTTTATGTTTTCATGATTAGAACACTGATCCTGATCTGTACCCTCTTAACAGATATTCAGTATACAATGCAGCCTTGTTATCCAGCAGGAACAGCAGTGCTAACAGATGAAATCTGCTGGGCTCTTCCCTCGGGGCCTTTTTTCTCCTGGCACTGCAACTGTCTGGGTCTGATACCGGGTCCCAGAAGAGAAAACATTGCAGACAGAGCCCCAGGCTGGCTGCCAGGTTCAGAATTCAGTTGCCAGGTGTTTCTTACGAGGGCTATTTTGAAGTGCCTATTTGGTTTTGTTATTCAAGAGTGACTAGAAGATGAGCATGTTGAGTATCAGTTTGTGTTTGTTACACGGTTGTTTTTGTATCACTTCCTGCACAGCAGCCTCTGAGGGGCTCGTGCAAGTGTGGATAGAGAGCACAGCAGCATCAGACCCTGCAGAGCAGAAATATTTGTGCATTGCTTGTAGCTTCTGACAGCGCATGCACAAAGGGCGGGAGTTTGAGCAAGACCAGGGAAAGTGTGATGGGGTGCTGTTTCTGCTGCTGCTGCTCATCTTGCCCTCCTAAGGAGGATGTTGTCACTGCCCAGCAGGAATGATTGAAGGTGTGTCAGAAAGGATGTCCTCCCAAGCCAGGGTGTAATATGCGCTGAACAGTAAAGGCCAGGCATGCTAGAAGCCAGCTCTTAAACCCAGGCAAAGACACACTCTCTTAATTTGCCAGGGCAGTGGGACGCTGACCACTGTCGAGAGCGAAAGAGGATGGATTATCACAGAGGGAGATTTTGAAATCATCTACCAAACCCGTAATAAAGGAATCCCTATTGACCTTTGAGGTTTCCCAATCCCGTTCTATCCTGGATTTTATTTTCTTAATGTGGTACAACTGTGTTTCTATGTTTTTCTGATTCTCTTAGTTAATAGCCACTGCACTTTCATTGCGTGGTTACATATTGCCATTCTTTTTCCAGAGAGTTCTAATTGGACAATATAGTAATACATATGGGCCAATTACATCACATCCTTGACTGTTTTACTAATTTGATTTCAATAATCTCAGGATACATACACTTAATTAGCAACTGTGATTAGATTTTTTTCTTTCTATATTTTTGCTAGTTATATTTCTTTTATTAATTGTCTTCCACATGTGCATGTATTAAGGTTTTGGAGAATTAACTTTAATATTTAAATTTGTCTATGGATGTATTAAGAAATTAAATCATATATGTGTACCCATGTATTGCTACCGTATAGAAATAGCCATTTTTTGTATTCTAGGTATATCCTTCTGACTTTTTAAATCTATATCTTCAGCGTGTTATTTTTTTCCCTCTCTGTACTGAAATTTGTCTTTCATTCTTCCTATCTGTCTATGAATGAGTATGCGCACACGTATGAATGTGTATGCACACGTATGAAAGTGTATGCACACGTGTGTGGAGGTCAGAGAACAACCTTGAGTGTTGTTTCTTAGGTGCTGTTCACTTCTTTTCTTTTTCTTTTGAAGTAAGACATGGTCTTTCCTTGTCCTTAAACTTGCTTACAAGGCTGATCTGCCTGGCCAGCAAGCCTGCCTCCATACCCCAGCATGCACTGGTGTTGTGCCAAGTGCCCAGCTTTTTTTTTTTTTTTTTTTTTTTTAAGCTGGTTCTATGATTCAAATGCAAGCCCTCGTGCCTTCAAGGCAGACACTTTACAGACCGGCTTCCAGCCTCGTGTTTCTTTTTTATTAACAAACACATGATCATTCTGTTAACTAACCATTCTCATTCAGTATTTTACTATCTTTTAAAGAAAAGTTTAGTGTTTTAAGCTGATAATTCATAACTCCTTCTGAAACTCTGGAGAAATGTAGAAAAGTATGAAGAGAAAGAAAAATGACTATCACCCAGAAACAATGAAGTTCCTGTCCATTTTTAATAATATCTGTATTTTTTCTCAAAATGATGTCAGACTACACACACATATTCATTATATTCATTTTTTTCAAAGTTGTAGTATTAGATATTTGTTTGCCTCAAGTTTTCACTATTTTTTTAGTTTTCATTATTTTAAATGTTCTCAATAAATATTATTTGATAAAAATCTTTGTAACTATTGCTGGTGTTTCTTTGTTTTTAATAGTATTTTGTAAGTGTTCTAGGACATAATTACATGAAGACTCTTAGCATCTTTTGCCAAATTGCTTTTCATGAGGTAATTAATACAGTTTATCTTTTAGCAGTGTTTGGCATACCTCAGTACTTCTCATCAACATGGATTATTATCTCATTTTTAAGTACTTGTTAATTTTGGTAATTGAAAAATAGCATCTCATTGGACATTTTTGTATTTGTCTTGGTTCAGGTGTTATTTTGAGACAAGTTCTCACTATATAGTCCAGACCAGCCTCACACTGTTCATCTTGCCTTTGCCTCCCAAGTCCCGAGATTATTATTTTAATATATTTCCTACATGCATATTCATGATTAACAATAAAAGGTTTTCTTGTGGCGGGGGCTGGGGGTGGGGGGTAGAGAGATGGCTCAGGAGTTAAAGCACTGACTGCTCTTCCAGAGGACCCAGGTTCAATTCCCAGCACCCACATGGCAGCTCACCACTGCTGGTAACTTTACCTCTCGGGGATCTGATACGCTCACACAGGCAAAACACAAATGGACATAAAATTTTAAATAAATAAACAATGAAAGGTTTTCCTAAGAACATTTAACAAAAAAGTGGGTTTTTCCTAATGGATGATTGTATGCCCTTGTGATGCGCTCTCTCTCTCTCTCTCTCTCTCTCTCTCTCTCTCTCTCTCTGTATGTATGTTAGGATAGACATGAATGGGTCCCATGTCCTGTGTCTGACACAGAAAGTTTTTTCCTAATAGGTCTTGGTATCTCGATGGACAGACGCTCCTGCTCATCATCTGTGTTGGCATTGTGTTCCCTCTTTCACTGCTTCCCAAAATAGGTAAGTCCCTGAAGACACACGGGGTGTGTTGGGGAGGGGGAGGCAAGGGAGGAGTGAGCAGAGAGTAAGAGGCTTTTAAGCTTAAGCTTGGCCTGTTTTCAGCTGCTCAGCCCTCAACCCTGCCTAGCTAACTTATTACTTGGCTTGTGGTGGCATTTTGGCTGCCCCACTAAAATGAAGTCGTTACAACAGAACATTAAGGAGCAGCCTGCCCTGCAGTCGGCTGCTAGTGGCAAGCCAGTTCCCGTTCTGCTGTGCAGAGCTGCATAATGACCTGTGACAGACGGGCCCTCGGCCCAGATACCAAGCTGCAATGGAAAACATGCCCAAGATGCATGGCTCTGGTTGTGAGTCAGGATCACTTGCCTTATAAATTGCTTTTTATTTTATTGGTATTTTACAGGCTTTCTTGGCTACACAAGCAGTTTATCATTTTTCTTTATGGTGTTCTTTGCCCTTGTGGTAAGTTTAAAATATAATACATGGCTTATTTCATCACAAAAATGCAACTGTGTTAATGACATCTTTTAACTGTTTTGTGCTGGGCACAGTAGCCCATTTTATATTATTATATTGTTGTTGTTTTTGTTGTTGTTGTTTTGCAAACAATTAATTTCAGTCACAGGATTATTCATTTTGTCCATTTTAAAGAAGCTTAAAACAGCATTTCAAATTTAGTATCTTGTGGTTAGCAGAGAGGTATACACAGTTCTTCTGTTAAGACTCTAAGTGGAATAGACCCCTGGACAGCATAGCACTCTGGAGAAGCAGTAGGGCTGTGCTCTGTACAATCAGTTCAACACAAAACTTCCTGGAGCTTTATTCCATTACTGAAACTACAGGTTCTGAGACTTGATTGAAACGGTCTCAGGAGAACTGGGGTGTGAATGTAATCCTATCCCGTCTGCTTACTCAGCATAAAATGTTCTCAGAAAGATAGTGTTGGGAATAAATATTCTTTTCATATGCAGAAAATGTATTTTTAATTAACTTTTTTTATTATGTATTATATCAGATGACAGTTTAACTTGTTTTATATTTATAAAATAATTTAACATAAGGATAAAAGAGAATTTTAATTTATGGCCTTTTAATTCTTCTTCTTTTTTTTTTTTTTTTGGTTTTCCAAGACAGGGTTTCTCTATGACGCTTTGTGCCTTTCCTAGAACTCGCTTTGTAGCCCAGGCTCGAACTCACAGAGATCCGCCTGCCTTTGCCTCCCAAGTACTGGGATTAAAGGCGTGCACCACCACCATCCGGCAACCTTTTAATTCTTCTAAGACAGATATGTCCTTGTATATAATTTCATAAAAAAAAATTTTCTTTGCAGTTCAGTTTATCCTATAGTAAGGATCTAAATGTCAAACCTTACATAGGATTAAACATTTTTAATTTGCCAAGAATATTTATATTCCAAGTAACCTTTTTCTAAGTGTTTAAGCTTTCCCTTAATTACTGATAATGAATCAAGGGGAAATGTCACCCCTAAGCAGGTTATAGAGCCAAATTCCCGAGCTGTCAAAACAGTCCTCAGACTGGGGAGATAGTTCAGCTGATCGTGTCTGCCCTGCAAGTCTGAGGGCGGGCTTCCAGTTGTTCCCAGAGCCCATGTGAACAATCGGGCATGTAGGTACATGCTTGTAATCCCAGTGCTGGGGGAGACAGAGGTGAGTGGACTTCTGGGCCTCATTGGCCAGCCAACTCAACCTTCTCCTACTCAGCACACTCCAGGCCAATGAGAGATTGTCTCAAAAACCAAGATGAATGGTTCCTGAAGAATGACATCCACCGTTGACTTCTGGCTTCCACATGTGCACACACACATGTGCACACACAGCCACACCATATGCAACCACCAACCACTACACACATGTGCACACAAAGCTACATACAAATACAACCACATGCACACCACATATGCATGCACACACTGCCACACAAACATGCAACCACATACCCACTGTGTATATACACACCAGCCCTGTTTGCATTACATTTATCTTTGGCTAAATCATCTGAGACACAGGATAAAACAACTAAAATACGTGCAAGTAACTCTGATTTCACTGTTCATCATCATTTATGTTATAAGGAATGTTTGTAAGGCTGAACATACTTAACAGTTCTTGATCACTTGTTGAATTTACCTGCATTAAAATTGTCCCTCCACCCACCCCAGTGCCATTCAGATAATGAATTGAGCATGCATTTTTTTAGGTTCCATACTTTAGAGAGAAACAGTAAGTATTTTCATTGTAAGGTAATTGTTGGAAAGCATCTGCATGGTTAGAAGGTAGCCTACATATACATAGGAATGTATGGTTCTTAAATGAGTGTAGATAGCACACTGAATTTTCTCCTCACAGTTAATCAACAAGGCAAGCATTTCATAGGTAGAAGTAATTCAGTTTTCACAGTCAATAGCTTAGCACAGGTGAAATGTATTGATACAATATGTCTATCATAGTTTTGGTTTCTGTCATAGTAGGTACTCTTTAATTCAATGCAGATTTCTGCTCCAGTAGTCATATGGAAATGATTCTCCTATATTTATCGTGATGTTCTACAAATCATCTGCTTGGATTTCTACCTGTGAGAAAAATTGAAATTTGGCCTACAATGAGACTATGAAGATTATGTTTTGTTTTGTTTTGTTTTTTAATGCTGTCTTTTGTTGCCATATGTATTACAGATTCTGTTTCTAATTTTTGTTTGTTGAGGGGTGGGTGGGTGGGTTGGTTGGTTGGTTGGTTGGTTGGTTGGTTGGTTTTGGTGAGACAGGGTTTTGCTATATAACTCTAGCTGGCCATGAACTCACTATCTAGACCAGGCTGGCGTACCGTTCACAGAAATCCATCTGCCCAGGCCTCTGCCTCCTGAGGGCTAGAATTCAGGTGTGCTCCACCATGCTCAACTAACTGACTTTGTAAAAACGTGTGCCAGTGTGTTCACTGATTATTTTTAGAACATGTGTGTATAAGTCTATTACATTTATATTGTTTTATGCAATCAATCTAGAAAACATTTTCTTGGCCGGGCGGTGGTGGCGCACGCCTTTAATCCCAGCACTCGGGAGGCAGAGCCAGGCGGATCTCTGTGAGTTCGAGGCCAGCCTGGGCTACCAAGTGAGTTCCAGGACAGGCACAAAGCTACACAGAGAAACCCTGTCTCGAAAAACCAAAAAAAAAAAGAAAACATTTTCTTAATTATACTCTTCAAGCTTGTAGCTAAAGTAGCTCTACTAGCTGCTCTCCCAGATCCTGATTTTCATTTAGAAATTTAGCATAAATTTTCCCTTGAGCATCTAAATTCAAAAATAAATTTCAATTTTTATCAATGGCTCAAAGTGACATAACAGATGTTTTTATCCTTTTTTTTTTTTTAACTTACCTTTTTGGTCACTTTGAAGCAAGTCGCTGGAGTTGAGGGGAGGGAGGGGTTGCTGCAAGCTCTGTAAAGGGATTTGAAAGACTTAAAGTGAGAGCTGACCTGCGGAGATGGGAGGGCTTGAGAAGGACGGAGGAGGAAGGGCCTTTTGTGCATTAAGTAGTTTTAGTGCTTCAGGTCATTTTTCTTGTCTGTCCATCCCCCAGAATTGCCTTCTAACCTGTAACTCTCTCCTCTCTTGTTGATGGGTCTCGGCCCCCTCCTCACCTCTCTGCATCTCCAGCCACCCCATCCCACCATGCCGGTCTGAGGCTGGGATGGCCGTTTGCACAGGAATTTCCTGTAATAAGGGAATTTATGTTAGCGTCAAAGCCAGTTGCTAATAATTCTTTCTAGTAAGTGAAATAGGTTCTATTGTATCTTGGAGAATTTTTGCAAGGATTTTGACTTGAAGGCTTCTAAAGTCACAGGGGACCAAGCAAGGAAGAGAGGGAGGAGCGCTCACATGACGGTGGCGCTCATGTGGCGGTGACGCTGAAGGCCTGGCGCTGAGCAGTGCTCAGGAGGTGCTGTTGCTGTCCAAGGCCCCAGGAGGACACTGTGTTTGGAGTGTCATCAGCAGGGCACAAGAGAGACCAGCTGCTTTCCCTTCACCCACACACTATCTCTTAAAAAAAAAAGATAGTGAGATTCTTGGTTCTGGTTTTGTTCTTTTCTGTCGATGGTTAAGCTTGGTTTTATATGAAAACTTAACCTGGAAATGCCCAGTTTGTCCTTAGACGCCCCACCCCACCCCCCTTTGGGTGAGATTTTAAATTAAGAGTGACTTGGGTTCACTCATTAACTTAATCCTAAAAGTGTGTGTTTTCTTTAGATTTATCACTGTATAAAATTTTGATTGAATTTGTTAAAACCCCAAACTAGATAAGTTCCAAACAGGAATAGTATTCACTTACTGGTCTCCTGCAAAGACAAATACTTTCTTTCTTCTGTCTGCCCCTTTGTGTGCTGGGATTTAGCCTGAAGCAAATATTTACAGAGTAATTATGTGCCTGCAACAAGGGCTACAAGGGCAGTGTTGACATGGCCGCAACCGTGGCTCTAGGACCAGGATGGCCACAATTAAGAGTCAGTCCTGAAACCTGTTCATTCTGGGAAACACCGTCCCTCTGGCTTTCTTTTGAGGGTTTTTTTTTTTTTTTTTTAAATTTATTTTTGCCAGCTGGAGTTCTCTAGCTCCGTGTTCATATTCTAGCCAGCTCTCTCCACACTGACTAAAATACCACAAACCTGAAAAAGTGAAGAGGCCAGGGTAGGTGTGCATCAGGTCATGTCTGCTGGCTAGTCTAGGCCTGACTGCTGCTGACAGACATCGTCATAGTCTGTGCCACTGTCATTGAAAACATGCTTCCGTTTTGAGTTGCACTTTTAAAACAAACAAACAAACAACAAAAACCAGGGTACTGTTGGATTTTGGAAAATTGACCCAAGAGAGCACACTGAGTCTTTCATGAACAAGATTCCCCGCTGATCAGATGTAAGGCATCCTATGCCTCCCTCTCCACCCAGTGACCATGTTAAAGCGTGACCCCATTCTAGCTGGGGAAAATCGGAGCAGCAAGGATTCATCTGTTAGCCTCCTGTTTGGCATTTTTTAAAATGTTGTCCTGGTTGAGATCAACTTGTGATGAATTTTACTACAGATCATCTGAGTGTCAGTTGTATTTACTTTTACAGATAGTAATTAAAAAATGGTCCGTCCCTTGTCCTCTGACCTTAAATTACATCGATGGAGTGTTCCAGGTGAGAATTTTTAAGTTCTTTTGTTTTAACTTTTCAACTAAAAAAAACAATGGAAGATAAATGATTATTCTAATTAATGAAAAAGTATTGGTTACATTGCATTTTAGAACTTTTCTTTGAAGTGATTTGATGGGAAAGTGTAGTAGTAATAAATTCATCGTATTTGTTGATGTATTCTGACTTTTAATAGCTGTTGGTTTCTCTTTTTCCCCTCAATACTCTTAAACAGATTTCAAATGCTGCAGATGACTGTAAACCAAAGCTCTTTCATTTCTCCAAAGAGGTGTGTAACTTATTAACAGATACTTTCGGTTGATTTTTCACATTTCAAGTTTTAAGAGATTTGTGTAACAGGGTCTCTCAGGTCTTTATACCTGTAACTAATTAATTTTCATGAAAGTGCTAAGTATAGGATTGCCTACCAGAAGAATAATATTATTTAACACAGGGTGGCCCATTATGAAACAGCCACCTTTTTCTTTTCTTTCTTTTGGCATGCCTTTAAATGGAGCCTGTTTTAAATGGGCCTTTGCCTAAAAGAACAGATTTACCAAATGTCTGGTCTGGCCAGTCAGGTCCTCTGTGGATACGGTTTTCCTGTTGAGCTCTGGACTTGTAAAGCTAAATCGCCAATTACATCAAAAAACTCCTCCCCTGTGAGTAGGACTTTGGTCTCTAGCTAAACAGCCTCATCATTGGACCAGCAGTTGAGTACTGCCAATCCTCCTTGTGAACAGCATTCCAAGGGGAAATTTATGATGCTCAGAGCAGAGACCTGAAGACCAAGTCCCTTGCCTGCTCTAAGAGAGCTGTAGGGTCCTGAGAATCCCTGAGAATTTGGAAGAGTCCCTAAGCATGAGCAGAGAAACAGGAACTGCCATCTGCATGGTCCCTGCTTTGTTCGAGTGGGAAAGCCAAGTCTTCCTGTTTCTGGGAGTCTCTTCCTTCTCCTCTTTGTATTTCTGCTGAAATGTTGTTTTATAGGTCCCAGGCACCAGGTCCCTCCACTCACTGCACTCTATTAGTGTAGAATGGTAACGTGGTTAGTCCTCTGTGCAGAACCTTCCTTTGTTTTTAACTAAGAAATGTCTCTCAAGCCTCACAAGGGACATTTTTCACATGGTAAAGACCTCCACGGGCCAGAAAGATCGAGGTAGGGTAATTGACGCTAGGAAATTGAACAATATAAACCAGAGAATCTGTGACATAAGCTCTGGTTCCCCTAATGCAGCTTCAGAGGACACAACTTCCTAGGTGCTATATCCCACAGTAGTTCTTCATCTGGAAGTTCTCTTGGTGAAGAGCCTAATGCTAGCTGAGGAGAAATATTTTTAGACCCGAAAAGAGAAGTCCTTACCATCCATTTGTTAATTTAGAGGGTAACTTTCTGGCTTGCTAGTTTTCTCTGGCTTTTGTTAAGTATTCTAGTAATAATTTTTAAAGAGACTATAGGTATTACATGGGATCCCAAGGAGTTCTTCAGGTCTAGAATTAATGATCTTTGTGTTCATTAAAAAAGATCTTGGTTGAAGATTCTGGCAGTACAAAGATGTGGTTTCTATTTTTAGTACTTACTGGGATTGAGTAAGTAAAAGCAGATTTAAAAGCATTGCCATTATTGCTGCTTGAGGTAATGAGATGTTTTTAAATTGTGCATACCTTAAGAATGACTGGAAATTATAATAAAATATCTTTAAATGTAGCTGTTTATATCTTATCTAAATTGTTTTTATCTTACCCAAATAATATAGAAAGTGGTAATTGCAATAAAGCAACATGATACGAGAGGCCAGCCAGAAACTGTTCAGGTCAGACTAAGCAAGCCACCTAAGCCACCGTAAGCGACAGTGTTTGCTGGCGACTGTAGACCCCCCCCCCACACCCCCCCACACACACCTCTCAAAAGTCTTATAAAGAGATCATTCATAAAGGATGAAATAAATTTGACCAAGTTTTTTTTTTTTTAAAGAACTTTATTGTTGGGCTGGCAAGGTGGCTCGGTTGTCTTGTTGGGCGCCTGGCAAGGTGGCTCGGTTGTCTTGTTGGGCGCCTGGCAAGGTGGCTCGGTTGTCTTGTTGGGCGCCTGCCCCCAAGCTTGTTGACCTGACCCTGCTCACCAGAACTCACATGGTGGAAGGAAGATACTGACTCCCACAAGTTGTCCTCTGACCTCAGCACGTGCTTAGTGGAATGGGGGTGTGGGCACACACACGCACAAGGTTTTTTTTAAAGTGTAATTAAAACAAAAAAAAGAACCAAGTGGGTTACCAAATAAAAATGGAGTAGCATTTAATAATTTTTTTCCTCTAAAATTTTTTTCAGAGTGTTTATGCCATACCAACCATGGCTTTTTCATTTCTCTGCCATACCTCAATATTGCCCATATACTGTGAGCTTCAAAGGTACTGTAGAACGCTGGGAATGTGCACTTCTCTCTGGGGCTTTCGCATTGAATAGCATTCTCATTTATGAATCCTTCTCTGTTGTCCTGAATTCTAAGTGTTAGTTAAAAAACAAGGCAGTCACCAGCTCATTCTGTCCTCGTTGGTAATGTTGCCAGTGACGCCATCTTTGTCTGTGAGTGTCCACTTGTGAATTCTAATGTGTAGTCATTGATGAACTCATGGTTGTCTGAAGAGTCCTGATTGGCCTGCGAGAGGCTTGTTTCTTCAGATATCAATTCCTACCGTGTTTGTGTTTCAGCCCCTCAAAGGAAAGGATGCAGAACGTAAGCAATACAGCCATCGCTCTAAGCTTCCTGGTTTACTTTGTATCTGCACTCTTTGGATACCTCACTTTTTATGGTGAGTATATTCTTAACCAGCGGGAATGAGGGAAGCGCAGATGACCTCACACCCGCCTGTGGTCTTTCTTCCTACCTCTCCCTTGTCAGTTTATCTGGTAGGTCACATGTCAGCACTGTGGTGGCTTTGTGAGCTCCTTTCTCTGACAGAGGTGAGTCAGGCTTGAGAGTAATGACCTCATGGAAAAGTTTTCCCTCGTTTTAGATGTGTGTGTGTATGTGTGTCCGAGTGTGAGTTTGTGCGTGTGAATGGAATACCTGTGGAGGCCAGAAGAGGGCATCAGGTCCCCAGAAGGTGGAATTACCTCGGAAGCAAGTGACTGTGACCCACCCAACTTGAGTGTCAAACTCCTGTTCTCTGTGAGAGTACTATGTGTTCTTAACGGCTAAGCCATCTCTCTAGCCCTTAAAGTTTTTCTTATATTTTTATGTAAATTTTCAAGTATATTGATGTCTCTATAAAATAATGATTTGGGTCTTTTAAATTTGTGTATTCAGAGCCAGGCATGGTGATACACACATTTAATCTCGGCACTCAGGAGACAGAAGCAGGTGGATCTCTATGAGTTCGAGGACAGCCAGGTCTACATAGTGAGTTTGAGGACAGCCAGAGCTACATAGTCTTGAAAAAAGCGAGGGGAAATTACATATTCAGTATGTTAGGCTCCAGATGATAAACTTAGAGGTTAGGAAAGTAAACCATCTCAATAGTTACACAAAGCAGCTCCAGAAAGCGAAAGCTAGTACAGTGCACTCAGCTGTTGGGCGGCCCTGCCTTCCGACTTCGCCTATACAGCATGCGCTTAAGTGCATTCCTGCCCCTGCTGCCCCAGGGCCTGTCTCTTTAAGTTTCTTAAAGACACTTGTAAAATTATAAAGCGTAAGCAAAATTCTCTTTTATTTATTTTGGAAACGTTTCCTGCATAGTTTGTTGGGGTTCTTTTTCTTCTTTGAACAAGCATGTCAAGAACAAAATCAAAGTCTAGAGCAAGAAAGAATGAGCAAAATTCACAAACAATCACATCCTAGCACATGCCACTCAAGCCCAATTTTGAATGTATTCTTCAGCTTAGAAATGTTTTTTATAGTAACTACAAGTGAATGGCTGTTACTACTTGGGGGTGCTTAGCGGTTGGTGACCTGCTTGATGGCTTTGTGCACCTTTTCAAGGTTGAGACTTCTTCGGTCACCAGCTATGGACCTTTATTTATACTTATCTCCCCGTTTCCCCAAGCACCAAGTCTTTAGACAACGTTTTCTTATACCACTATCTTTCCTAGGCCCTTTGAGAAGAATACTGGTTTTGAAATCCAACTAGCTGTCATTCCCTAACTAGCTCTGTGACCTTGAGGGGAGCCTCTACTGTGGAGCATCTTCAGTTCCTAATCTATAGTATGAGTATAACTGCAGAGGGCTATGGTGAGGCAGAAGTGAGTTCTATCTAAAACCCTGCTGTAGTGTTTGGCACATAGTAGTCCTTCTCAACCGAGGGCTGTTTATAGCTGTGTACACTGTGTATACTGTCATCCTGACTGGTGTAATTGTCTCCGTTTTAGGGGTCCTCTTTCAGCATTATGCTTCTAATTACTCTTATGCACCTGTTGTGTGTGTGCACAGGTCCCTGTGTGTGCACAGGTGAGAGCGGCCAGCCGTTAGAGGACAGCCTCAGGTGTCATTCATCAGGAGCCTTCCACCTTGTCATTTTGAGACAGGGTCTGACACTTGGCTGGGAATTTACAAGTAGGCTTTTGGGCTGGCTGGTCAGCAAGCTGCAGGGAGGGACTCCACCTGTCGCTGCCTCCCCAGCACTGGGATCAGCAGCACATGCCACCACACCCAGATGATTTTTTTTTTAAAGATGGATTCTAAGGATTGAACTCAGATCCTCGTAGCAGCAGGGCAACCATTTCTACAGCCGAGCCCTCTCCCCAGCCCCTCTTCTGTGTGACGGCTTTTCAGTGGGTGCTCCCTCGCCTCGGTGTTCCCAGTGTGTGTCCTAGACAGGGATTTGCATAGTCCAACTGTGGGTGTGCCTCTGCCTGGGAGCCCAGATGCTGTGTACTGCAGCTTCGAAGGCACAGCTGATAGGATCCCGCGGTGGTAGGCTGTCCACAGATGGGGGGTAACGCCCTCCCAAAGGTAGAGGACAGGCAGAATAGTCTGTTCCTTGCAGTAGTTCTTCTTTTTCACTGTTAATCAGAATCAAGAAATGCCTTCTGCTGTGGCTTTCAAGTGGTCTAGTCGGAGCTGTCTAATAACAAGAAATTGTTAGTTTGGTAGGCCTAGCCCAAAGTTCAAGCTTATAGTTCATCTTTCCAGGTTAGAAGTTCATCCTAGAGAGGTCAAGTGGACTGCCATGGAATTAAGGCAGCTTTCTGCCTGCAAGTCAGTATTCTTGGTGCTACCTAATGAAAATCTTCCTCGGTGTCTTAAGCAGGCAGCCATGTGATGCCAGCGGTACAAAAAATGACCATCAGGTTCTTTCTGGAATTTGTGAAGCTTCCTCTGAGTCCAAATAAGTGTGTTATAATTGTTCCTTATACATGTTAAGGCTCAATTAAGAGTATGAGGGGTGTGTGTGTGGGGGGGGTGTTGTCTCAGAAGGCTTTCCCCCTAGGAAAGTAGGATTTCTAGTAAATTTAGTTCTTAATACTTGTGGAGCCGATTGGAATCTTTATCCAGGACTCTCAAAGCTTAGTCAATATCGAACTTGTATCAGATTAAAGGGGTCTATAAGTATCAACCTACATGAATAATATTGGTTCTAATCACAGATGTTACAGAGGAAAAGTGTCCCTCTGGTGAGCCAGGCCAGTGCCCAAACACTGGGTAGCCAGCCATTTTAATGTCTGTGAGGTCGTTAAACAAGGAGTGTTAACAGTTCATTTTATGATTCAGAAAATGGAAATAAAATAGTTTGCCATATTTCTCCAAAGACTCCCAAGTATCTCACAGATTTGGAAATAGAATCCAGATTTCTTGGCCCTTCCCAGTCCTCATACCTAGTCCCATCTCTTCATTCTGTAATTTTCATCTGTAGCACTATAGACGATTTTATTTCTCTGCTGTGCCCATGACTAGCCTAGCTCGGAGCCTCATTACTTTAGTGATTATAACAGTGGCTTTCTGTTTCTTTGTTTCTGGTATTTTCCTTCCGCTCTGCACTTGTGTGTAGTTCGAGTCACAGTACACTCCTCTTTCTGTCTTCGTGTCATTCCTCACTGCTGCACCCAACACCTAAGGTCCAAAGCAGCCTGAGGGAGGGACGGTCTGTTGTGGCTCCCAGGTCATCATGGCCGGGAAGGCACAGTGGCGGAAGAATCAGGAGTAGTGAAGTCTTGTCCAGCTTACTTTCTCCTTTTATATAGTCCAGGATCCTGGCCCATGGGATGGTGCCATCCACTACTGAGTCTTCCCACCTCAACTAACCTAATCAGGATAACCACACACACACACACACACACACACACACACACACACACACACACACACACACACACACCAGAGGCACGCCAGAGGTCTGTCTCCTGGGCGATTCTAGATCTCATCAAATTGACAATTGAAATTAGCCAATTCCTAGATGTTTGTACTTTTGGCTTGTCAGATTTCATCTAAACCCGGTGCAGGGCTGTCTTGCTGAGTCTTCGGGTCCTCTCCAGCTCACTCACTCACTCGCTGTCCTCTTGTCCTCTTGCTCAGGATGCCTCCACTGTGGTGCTGACTGGAGCATTCACTTCCTCAAGCACAAGTGCCCTTTGCTACCGCAGGCTTCTGCTGGTTCTGCTTCTCCGTTCTAGAAAGTCTGTTCCACGTCTTTGAATGTCAGCACACATAGCGGCTTATTCCGTGAATTCAGTAACTGTTGAGGTCCATAAATTACTATCATCTGAAGACAGGAAGTTACAGTAGGTAGTGGGATTTGAATGCGCATTGTCGTCTCAGTTTAGAATTACTGTAGCTCTTTGTTTAAGCCTCCTTCTGCCACTTAGATTTGTTCACCTTGTATAAACTTTCCGGTGCATTTTTATGGGGTCCTCTTATCTCTTGAGACCCAGAAAAACAGGCATATTTGCTTTTTGTATTTCCTCTAATTTTTGTACTTCTAAAATTTGATTTTTATATTTAAGTTCAAACTGGTCTTTGTCCATGGTTCCTGAGGTGTGGTGTGAACACCCTTGTTCTTCCTCAGGTGACCTGGGTGAGGGAAACTACCAGGCGGAAAGCAGGGTCGGCATCTCTCAGTCGTCTCTCTCTGTCCTGACTAAACAAGCCATTTTCTTAACGCTTCATTTTCTTTTATGCAAGATGAAAATGGACAAAGCTGATAACATGCACACTATGCAGACTATAGAATTGACCCTGAAAGTATAGTCTTACACAGAGCGCTGTGAAATTTGAGAAAACGCTGGTATAGCGGGAGAGCTAGCACGAAAGTGTGGGGTGCCCTGCTCTGCCCCCCGATACGTGTTCTTAGGCAAACTGACTGGTATTTGTGAGCCTACCTATCTCATATTGCCATGGTGACCAAATTCAGCAGTACACATGCGAGCATTTTACAAACACTTTCCTTAAAATTATGGAAACTTCTAAGGAGTTTTGCTTTCGTTTGTGTTTTGTTTTATTTTGTTGTTTTTATGACTGGGCCTCACTGGCTTGGAACTTGCTAGGTAGACCAGGCTAGCCTCAGACTCACCGAGATCCATCTGCCTCTGCCTCCCCATTGTTTTGATAAAAGCCTTGCGCCACCACACATGGTTAGGGAGATACTTTTAAGTACATTTTTTTTGTCTAAATTGTGGAGATTCTGTGTGTCCTGGTTTAAAGTTTCTTAAAGAACACAAGAGTGGACATGGACTGACAAGATGTCCCAGCAGGTAGAAGCACCTGCCACCAAGCCCAATGACCTAAGTGTGAGTCTCAGGACTCACATGGTAAAAGGAGAGAGCCAACCCCTGCAAGCTGTCCTCTGAACTCCACATATGTGCAACGGTATTGGCATGTCCAAATAAGTCAGTAAGTGTAATATGTTCTAGAAAGAAGTGTACGTCTCAAGAAAATATTAAATATCTTGGTATTTCAGAGCAGAGAGAAAAGGGCCAGAAATGAATTTCAGAATGGGATCCAAGCCTAGTATGATCCAATAAACCAACAGAACATATTTTGCTATTATTGATATAGTGGCACATCGTTTCTAATGCGACCCTGATTGCTGCTGCTGCTGCTGTTGTTGTTTTAATTTATTTACAGACAAAGTGGAGTCAGAATTGCTACAAGGTTATAGTAAATACTTGCCACATGATGTTGTTGTCATGGCTGTGAAGTTATGCATACTGTTCGCTGTGCTTTTGACAGTTCCTCTAATCCACTTCCCTGTAAGTATGCCTAAAGGTTCTGTTGCTCAGTGTCATGACTCCCTAATATGGCAACGCTAATGCTTTGCAGACCAGACCCTTTGAATCACATCTAGTCTTGTGTATCTTATTCATTTGTCAAGTAATTGATCCAAGACCTCATACTAGCATATGGTCCCATGAAAGCACAAAAATAACAGTGAACCTCGAAACTAATTTGTGCTTTCTGAGATTTGGTTTAGCTTTACCTCTCCCTTGGTTTTGTTTCTAATTTAGAGACTATGGTTTTAAGGGGCTTTTTTTTTCTTTTTGAGGGGGGAGGTGTCATTCTGTATTCTGTTTTCAAAAGAATGTGCACAAAGAAGAGACAGTCGAGTCAGCAGGAAGGAGCCCTTCCTGGTCTGTTACAGGTTGCTTCCCCTGGGGAGTTCATGCTTAAGCTTTGAACTTGCTCTAGGATTCAAGAGGCGGATAGATTGCCATCTGTATCCAGTCGCTACACATAAGAATCCTAAAAATTTCTGTGAAAATGAAAACAAGGGCAGTGGGTGGAAATGCTTCTGCCTGGATGTCTTGAACTCATGTGAGTTCCTAAAATCCAGGACCTTCCAGAATGCTTGCCCCTCCCTGTGAGACTGCAGGACCAGAGGTCCAACCAAGGCCAGATAAACTTGTGCGCTGTGGTCACCAGTGGCCTGCCCAAGCAATGGGAGATATGGGAACTGTTTTTTTGTATTTACATGCCATGGAACAGATAACAGAAATAAAACAGAAAATGGCATTTCTTTTCCATACCATGGTTTATTTTTTTCCGCCTGAAAGTTTGTTTGTCTGTTGAATTTAATGAAAATTGTTCTTTGTGATTTCATAACACAGTGTTATTGCTTGTAATTTTTTAAATTACAGAACCTTAAAAAAATGGCCTGTGAAACTTTTGTGTGGAATTTAAGCAAAATCATTTTTATGAAGCTCGCCCAGAAAGGTTTATGTGTATAAAAACACTGCATAATGATAGTTTATGCTGCGTCTGGGGAATAGAAATGATTTGGGGTAAAAATATTCTGGTTACTATACATGTGTTTCTCTAAGCAGACGCCATGCCTTTGATCCTTCCCCTTGCCTGACTCTCTCTTCTCTGCTCTACAGGCCAGAAAAGCTTTAATGATGCTACTTTTCTCAAATTTTCCATTTTCATGGATCCGGCATTCTCTGACCACGTTAGCGCTCAACATCATCATTGTTTTACTTGCAATATATGTTCCTGACATTAGGAATGTGTTTGGTGTAGTTGGTAAGTTTCCATTAAAAAAGAAATCATGCCCTAAAAGGAGCTGGGGAGGGCGCCGCAGTGGTCGAGCTCTTGGATTTGATTTCCAGCTCCGCGGAGAGAAAAGGGGTAATGAACTCGTTGCTCTCACAGCGGAATCCAGTGATGTTTTATTTTCTCCTCTACCTTGTAGGTGCCAGCACATCAACGTGCTTGATTTTTGTGTTCCCAGGGCTGTTTTATCTGAAACTTAGCAGAGAGGATTTTCTTTGGAAAAAGCTTGGGGTAAGTTGTTCCCAACTGTTTCCTTTAAGCCTTCCATCTTAAGAAATAGCTTGTCATTTTATTACTATGTTTATGTCTAAGTCAATATGTATCTTCATATATGAAGTACATTTTGGAGTCGGGTGTGATGCTCATGCCTGTAGTCCCAGCTCTTAGGGGGCTGAGGCAGGAGGATTGCTGAGTGTTTGAGGCTAGCCTGAGCTACAGAGTGAGACCCTGTATTCTGATACTGCGTGAAAGTACACCTCAGAGAAGGACAGAGGCTCACACTCACGGTCTGCTTTGTCTCCACAGGCCTTGCTCCTGCTCGTTACTGGTGCCTTGGTTGGGAGCTTCAGTTTAGCACTCATCATTTTTGACTGGGTCAACAATGAAAAAAAATTTTTTCTATTATAAAGAATAACTTACCTCTGTAAGCAAGAAGGAATCATTCTGGAAGGCATTGGATATGAAAATCACACTCAGGAAAATTATTACCAGAAAAGCAAGACAGAGCAGCAGGAATTTAGTCAATTTATTTTTAACCAAAAATTAGAAATATTCAAAATGTTGTTCTTAAATATGTTGAGTCACTCTTTTTTGTGGGAATTTTATTTTATTTTGTTTTTGAGACAGGATCTCACTGTATTGACGAGGCTGGCCTTGAACTCATAGCATCTGCCTGCTGCCACTTTACAAGTGCTGGCCTTAAAGGTGTGCACCAGCATCCTGGCACATGCCAACCATCACCCTGGCACATACCTGCCATTTGTGACTTTTTTAAAAAAAAATAGCTTTTATTTTTTTAGAGTAGTTTTATGTTTCCAGATATATTGAGTAAATGAACTAAGGGATTCCATATGACTCCCAACAAGGGTAGTCTAACCTCAAGCTTTCCCTGATATGAATGCCTTGTGTCAGTATAGCACGTTATACCCAGGAATGATAAAGGTCCGAGTGAGGGTTTGTTCTTGGCCACCACTGATCTCTTTACCAGAATGCCGTGATTGGGATCATGTAGGACTGTAGCACGAATCTTAAATGGTCTTATTAATAAAATCAAACTTGGAGCCAGGTATTGGGGTGAATGCTGGAAGGTCAGAGAAACAGAACAGGCCACAGCTAACCTCACCTCGCCAGTTCCTCAGCTGATCCTGTTTCCTCAGACTGGAAGCCTCTGTGTCCTCATATCCAAATGGATCTCAGCTGAACTGCTGCTCAAAAGCCTAAAAGCTTAACCAGCTAGTTCCTGGTTTTCACACCTTATATACCTTTCTGCTTTCTGCCATCACTTCCTGGGATTAAAGGCTCACTTCGTGGGATTAAAGGCGTGAATCACCATACCTGGCTGTTTCCAGTGTGACTTTAAACTCACAGAGATCCAGATGGATCTCTGCCTCCAGAAGCCTAGGATTAAAGGCATGTGTGCCACCATTTTCTGGCCTCTATGTCTGTCTAGTGGCTGTTCTGTTCTCTGACCCCAGATAAATTTATTAGGGTGCATGATATGTTTTGGGGAACACAATACCACCACATAGGACCCTGTGGCATTTCCAGACTGACTTTCATGTAATAGCTCATTTCCTTTTAATACTGAATAATATCCCATTGTAGGGATGTATCAAGTTTGTTGATCCACTCACCTCATGGAAGACCTTCCTACTGCTTCCAAGTTTTGCCAACTATCAATAAAGGTGCTAAAAATGTTTGTGTGCAGTTTTTACATGGTCATGTGTTCATTTGGGGAGGGAGGGGGTTTAAATACCAAGGAGCACATGCTGCCTTGTAAACGTATGTTTAGTTTTATAAGAAACTGCCGAGCTCTTCCCAAGCTGCTGTAACATTTTGTATTATTGCCAGCAATGAGTGAGCGTTCTATAATCCCATATCCTCCCCAGCATTTGGTGTTAGTAGTGTGGTGTGCTGAGTTCTCAACAACTGAGTGTGATGTAGTGGCATCTCTGTTCTGAGATTCCCTAATGGAATGATATGGGCATCGCACATGCTTCTGTGACCAGCCGCTGCCTATTTTCTTAGATGAGTGGCTGATTCTTTTGCCCATTTTTAAGTTGGGTTGTACACATAAAACATTACTACACACACACACACACACACACACACACACACACACACACACTGACCCGAAGCAGCAGAAATAAGGGCCCCAAACAGCGAGGTGTTGAGAGTAAGGACCAGGGATGAGAAATAAGTAAGTGAGACAAAAGCAATAGCAGAGACCAAAAGGTCTTGCCTAAGCTAATGGCTTTACGCCAAGCCAAGCTAGTTGATTCAGTAGTACAGCATTGTATATACTGTTTACCAGGGAACTAGGGGAGCAAAGAACTAAGTCAGACATGTTGTCAAAGAGGACATGGAATTCCTCAGACACAGCTGCCTAAGGATGGGTAACCACAGCCCAAGGGGAAGAGCCAGGTCCCAGAACTGTAACCTTGACTCCTGAGACATGGGCTTCAGCCCTGGACAGGCCCTGCCAAGTCCACCCCTGGACAAGGTCACAGGCCTAAAGTTCCCTTTGTCCATTCAGTAGGGCCTCTAAGAAAGTCTTGAGTTGGTGTGCCTCCCTACAATATATAAGGAATCAATTTTGTTTTATTAAGAAGTCAGTGTATTACATTTTTATACAAAATTGATTCTTAGTGTGGAGGTTAACTTTAGTGTCGGTCAGAAACTGAGATTTCTCTACTGGGTATGGCCCTGCCTCCCAGTCTTACCTGGGGTTTTCCTGTTGCTTTGATGAGTTTGAAAGTTCCCCAAACCTTGTCAGGTTGTCACTATAATAGGTAACATTATTCCTGGAAAACAGGCACCTAGTGATGGTCTGTCTCATACGTTGTCTAGAAATTGTAAAACATTGCTTTTGGACCATTGACATGGTTCCCCGTTGGAAACTTGAAGCTGGGACTCCTCTGCCATGAGGGTTCCATGTAAAGGGTGCTGTGTTTGGCGGCCGGCTGCAGGTGACTTGTAAAGTAGGGAGGTTCATGCAAAGCCATAATTTGCATACATGGAAATACACACTTTCGCAGGTGTCCTCTTGCCTCCCACTTAGGAAAGAGGCTGAAAGTGTGGCAACAGAGCTTCTCTTTTGGAAAGATCAAAGAGAGCGCTGGCAACCTGAGAGCGCTGGGTATAACAGGGAAAGGCCAAGCTGTGGGTTCGGAAGAGCAGGATTCAGATCTTAATGAAAGCCATACCACTCTTAACCTCTGAGCCTCTACTTCCAATTCCATGCAAGGGAATTAATACCCATTTTCGTGACTGTTGGGAGGATTAAATGGCCTTTAATAAATTAGATGCAGACCAGCTAGGCTTTCTTACTTGCTGTTTGCCCCTTTGTCTGATCCCTTATCTGGAGCAGTAAAATGAAATGGTTTTTACCCCAGGGCACAGAATGAAGTCTTGGATTTTTCATCTTCTATCTTGCATAACTTTGACCTGAGTCTCTTTGGCCTTCACCCCCCCCCCCCCCCAGGAGCTGGCCCCGGAAGCAGGGGTTAGTGCTTTCCCACAGTTCCACACCAGCTGTGTGCTTCTCCTGCCACGCCGAAGCTGAGCACTTCGCATGCCCCAGCACGGGCAAGCATGGCCTCTCCTTCGGCTTCAGGTCAGAGCTCGTCGACTGAGCTACTCATACCCTATTGTTCTGTTTATGAAATAATGCTCATAGGTGTTCAGCTGCTTAAATAAATCTTAACTCTGGTAATACCAAAATAACCCTAAATCTACAACAGATGCAAGGATGCCCCCAGGGGCAAATGTTAAGTGTGGTGACAGCTGGCCATCAATTAATACGTTTGTCACCTGTTCTGGAGCTGGTGCCCTGGGAGGTTTGGCAGGAGACAAATATCTTTTGTAACACTGCACAAAATGGAGTTACTATCAAGAAAAATAGTTGGTGGAGGTGGTCGCTTTTACTTCAGCATTTTGCCTTGCCTGGTTGCCTGTCTGAGGTCACATTTTCTGTGACTTTGGAGGAAGCCAATGAGAAAGGCTAGCAAGAGCCATGGCCCCTTCATAACCTTGGGCTAGTACCCCCAGCACTTTTTCTGGGAAATTTGGGCCTTCTCCTTATGGGCTTAATGGTCATAATTTATTAGGTAATAACTATTTAAAAATAAAACGAAGAAACGCACAAAATACACACTTTCCTAACATTCGGAGAGTTATTTGCTAAATTAAAAGACAAAATGCCAAGACCGTAAATTACTTTCATATGTTCAGAGTGAATGTTTTAAGTTGTACCTTTTTTTTTCCCTTAACAATGTTTACTCATGAGCTTAGCATTTAAATGGTTAAAACAAGCCTTTGAAGTTAACACTCCATTAAGATGAATGGGGGTAATTCACACCTCTGCTGGGGCTGTATTATTTCAGTCTGGCTGCGGAGAAAACAGGACAGCAGCGGGCTGATTTACTGTGCGAAGGTCCTTTAAACACCCATCGGCTGGAAAGCTTTGTTCCTGGGGTGGTTTCTTCGTCTGTTTGTGTCTGTTTGTTCGTTTTCCTTTTCTACCTAGAAACAGGATCGTGAAGTCGCATCCCGCTTAGGTGTGGAACTGGAGTCTTGAGAGGTGGTAAATTGTCTCCTCTCCAGTGACTGCGTGACATTGAGTGGGTAGTGGGGTACCAGGCCAACGAAAGCCCCGCTGGCTCTGTTCAGTTCTGCCCTGTAATGTAGTCTGTAAAGTCCAGCTTAGTCCCCTGGAAAATTCACCCATGGCGAAGCAGGCGGGTCCATTTTCAGGTTAACTTCGCATATGACTTCAGTGGGTTAAGAATTCATTGGTTTTTCTTGTACGCTTAAAAACTTTGTTTTGGCGAAGTTTTATGTTCTTATTTGCCTGTATCTAAAGATCTACCTCTAAAAAGCCAGGCATGATGGCGCACGCCTTTAATCCCAACAGGCTGAAGCAGGTAGATCTCTGTGAGTTCAAGGCTAGCCTGATCTACATAAAGAGTTCCAGGACAACCAGAGCTACATAATAGAGAGACCTTGTCTCA